TAACCGAAGTAAATGTTATCGCTGAGCGACGAGCAGCTCATAAATTGACTACAATGACTCTTTTCCTCCAGCAGCTACTGCAGCAGGAGATCAATGAGCTAACATGCTAACATGCTGCTAACTATTTAACTTCTGTGCAGCAGAATAAAACTTTAAACATTTGGGGGACTGTGGAAAAATATAAAGACACATTCTGCTGCTTTTTTTTAGCCCAATAGCTTCAAGTCACATACTGCAGATCAGATCATTTCCAATCAGGTTTCCTTCTATCTCAGAACATTTGAATTCAGTTGCTATGAAAACTTGCTGCGTTCTACATTACGTTATACTCGTGGTCATTTTTTTTAAAGTCCTGAACTCTGTGTGGAAAATGGCCACTTTCTCAATGCATCGAATGATCCAGATGTTTTTGTAATTTCATCCTGGAAAAAAAAAAAACAAGACCTGAGAAGCCAATTTAAAAGTTTGATATCTCCAGAAACATAATTTGTGCTCCTACCAATGGGTCCACATCACCACTATGTCAAAATGTCAAAGAACAGGACCTGTGTCTTGCCACGTACATCAAATTCTACTGATGTTAGAGGCCTTCAAATGTTCACCAAAGACTACATTTTTAATAGGAAATCTGGATCCATCCATAGATATATAAACCAGCCTTTTAAGAACATTTTGCACTTTTTTCCATTTTCATGGGCCAGTAGCTCAAAATGCATCTTCTGCTGGAACCATTCAGTCATTTAGAAATGCTGGAAACTATTTTTTTCTGCGATTTCTTACCTGTGGAGCTGTTTTAAGGGTTCACTATCTCCGGAAATTAAAGTCCCACAGACATGAAATTTGGTGAGGACGCAGACAGAATAGTTTCCATCAGATCTGAATGACTGAACGGATCCAGTTAGGTCCAAAGTTTTAGTTACTGACCCTTGAAATTGGAGTTAATTGTCAAATTTTCAATCAAGTGCGATATTGAGGCGCCAAAAAATTCCTGTGTGTGTATTTATATATATGGATGCATCCATATTTCCTACTAAAAATGCAGCATTTGGTCGACATGTGAGGCCTCTAGCATCAGCAGAATTCAATGTGTCACGAGCATGGGAAGACAAGGCTCCAGTCTTCTGTTATGTTTGACTATATGGAGATGTGGACTCAGTCGTAGGAGCACAAATTTCTGGAGATACTGAATCTTTAAACAGCTTCCAAGACGAGATGTCTTTTGAGGATGAAAACAAAAAAATTGACAGGTCTGAAAACCTGAAAATTACCAAAACGCAGCCAAAATATTGAGTTTTGAGTCTCAAAATGGCAAAAGTACTCTCCAGATTTAAGATGTGAAATGACACGTACCGACTCAGTTACTCATTTATCATAATTAATGAGAAAAAGATTAAACCTGAATGATGCGATGACGTCGGATGTCTGTCAGCCCAAACTGGACTTCCAGATTTCGGGGCTGCTTTGTTTATTTTTTACTGATTAGTTTCAGGATTTTGAAACGGTTCCGAGCAGCAAAAAACAAACAGTTGTGGCACAGAAATCGGCAGAAGTCGTCAGAGACATGGAAAGAAGGAAATCGTTCACATCCTTGTTGTCAGAGGTGTTTTTTCTTCATCGCAGAGCATTGGGTTAAACATCAGTAACACTAGAGACGCCAGCGCTCGATCCCTCCACAGAGCTCCGTCTGCCTTCACGCGACGCCGTTCAGGCTGAACTTCACACCAGGTTGCTGATGTTTTTTATTGTTTTGTTTTAATTCACTTGTGTTTTAATGTCGGTCGACCAGAGATTTGTTTATTTTATTGTGCCATATGGGTCGCTGTGCCTATGGAAATCTGAATGTTGTTTTGTTTGTTTGTTTTATTGTACGTGACAATATGATCCATGTGAGAAGCTCTGGTGGTGGGGATGCTTACGCTGCAGCACACAGCTTCATGTGGTTTTTTACAATAATCCGTTAGTCTGGAAGAGTTTGTCATTGTGACGTCTTCAAAAAAAATATTCAGTTTGCAGTAATACAAAAAGCAGAAAATGCTGAAATCGTTTGCCTAAAAAAGTAACTTCTTAATGCTTAAAAAAACAATAATCCACTAACATAAGCCACACAGTTTGATTCGTGCCATTAAATGTTGAATAGATGTTGGAGGAAATGCAAACATCCAGATGTTTACACCTTAAACTAACCAGTCTCAGTCCATTTAGCAGCTGCTAACGAGATCTGTGTCACGCAACTACATGGGTTTGCATTTTTTTCTAAACTCCTTGCAGACATTTCATCCACAAAGGAAAATATTCTGTGAGAACGAGTTTCAGTCCAAAACTCCAGAAGAGCAACTAAATGGACCTCGTTTTGAGTTTTCCCAAAGTCAGAATTTGCGTATTGAGTGTCAAACAGGTAAAACAGCAGCTTGGAGTCTTAAAATAACAGTTCAACGTTTTCATTCTGATTTCTGTTAAACCTGCTGTGCCAAACTTTGTCTCCCCCTGCTGGCAGTGAGAGTCATTACACAAACACTGTCGATGCAGCACGTATTCCTTCTTTACTCTCGAATCCTTCCTCTGAAGATTCCTACTTATCTGGTGCACCAGAAACCTTTCATCGGGTTCCCCCATCAAACTCCTTGTTGCCCTCTTCATTGCTGGTTGATATAAAACGCATCGCTAACGGTGCACCGGCGCAGGAAAGTCGCAACAGACGCCAGATTTAAAACGCTGATATACAGAGATTTGTCTGGAGCTGAGGGCCTTAAACTTACTGGCTTGAATGTTCTTTTTTGTGGAAAACTCTCCTGCTTTAAATGCAGTTACAGCTAGTTAGCTTAGCTTAGTATGAAAAGCGTAATCGTGGTCAACAGTTAGCAAAGCTCAGTCTGAAAATAACACAAAGCTGCCAAACAGAACAAACAAATGAGGTCCAAAGTGTTGGTTTGCGATACAGATTCCTGCTCGATGCAACAGTTGACCACCACTAATCAGAGGCAGACTGGCTGTTGGCTGCAGTGGTTGTGCTAAGCTAAACTAGCCGGCTACAGATTACTTTTAATATTAACTGGTCAGACCTAGAAGTGGCATCAATATTCCATTTTTCCGCCAGAAACACGACAGCGCAGAGCGTCGACCGTAACAGGGCAGTAAAACTGTGGCCTGCTGTGGTCGTCTCTTCACCTGTACGTTAACCCCGCCCACCTGAGATCACCTGGCGTGCTGTGTGCTGGAGTGTTGGCGAACAGAGCAGCTGCTCGAGCAGATTTTGTTGTGAGTATTGAGTTTGGCTGAATCCTGCAGCCTGAAAGATCACTATAAACCAAGTTCCAGCGCACCGAGCTGCTCTCCTGGATGACTGCTCGGCGCTCAAATCATTCTTTGTTGTTCAGTGCAATCCGGCCCGACGCAAACGGTCTTTAAATTGTATGAGAATGTCTCTCTGCAGCACTTTAGAGGGGTGGATGAGCGGTCCAGTGGCGCGTTTGTGTTCATGAAAGCAATTTGCAGAATAAACTCAGAGGCAGCGTTTGATTTCAAGTGTGTCGGTGTGAGACAGCTCTTAAATCTGCAAGTTGTACGAGTGTATTTACTGCAGCTGCAAAAAGTCTTCATCAACATGGAAATAAAAAAGAAAATCGAGCAACGCTGCTGTGATGAAATGATACCTGTATCAATAAATATTTGATTTAAAAAAATGGCTCAGAAGCGTGAGTGAATATGTTCATTGCACATGCTTGTGGCAAATATTGAATGTTAAATGCACTCAAAAATAAATAAAAAGCGCATTAACAGGTATTTTTATGTGGAAACTTCATCTGCTGACAAACTGCTGAGTAAAGGGACCTTGACAGGAGATTGTTTTATTGAAGAATTGTACCCTTAAAGAGTTCACTGTGGAGATCTGCCCGCTAACTTCTACAACATGCGCTTGGTACCGGTGCCCAAGTCATCTCGGCCCAGTGACTTCAGTCACTATCGACCGGTGGCCCTGACATCCCACCTGGCAAAGACCCTGGAGAGGATGGTCCTCCACCACCTGCACCCCCTGGTGAGCTCATCGGCAGACCCACTGCAATTTACCTACCAGCCGAGCATCGGGGTTGAGGACGCCGTCATGTTTGCACTATTTCTTATATTTATATGTACATTTTTTATTTTTTTCCCTCGTATATGTGTATCTCTGTTTAAGGCTGCTACCAACAACGTGAATTTCTCCACTGTGAGATAAATAAAGGCATATCTTATCTTATCTTTACATTTTGAGCTAAAGTAGAAGATGATGAGAGCTTTTAATGGCGGCATCGTCAGCAGCATGTGTCCTAAACTCTGTGCGCTGTTCACTCTCACAGCCGGAGAAACGTCGGCGTTAATCAGCGCGAGCTGCTTCTTGAAACAGTTCAGGTTTTGTGGTTTCAGTGAAATGGCACAACCAGAAGTAGTTTTATTTTAAAGTACAGAACACAGACCAGAGCTGCATGAGAGCTGCAACAGACGAAGAGAAACAGAGAAATTAAAAAAAAAAAAAAAAAAGTAGATTAAATGTTATATGTCCGTGACTTAAGCAGTAGCGGTCATGTAGAAGGCTAATTCCAGACAAAATATGTTCAAATAAAATAAACCACAATGATTATGTAGCTTTAAAAAAAATAAATAAATAAAATTTAAATTAAAAAAAAAATCAGAGTTTCATGTTGAGAAATATTCCAAACCGAAATAGATTGTAAATAAAATTCAAAGAATGTAAATGATTGAAGCAGTTTATCATAATACTAAAAATGACAGCGTGTAGCCACTGCTTTATGTTAATAAAATCTAATTAATTATTTAAGGACGTGTTTTCTTGGCACTCTTGGTCTTCCATAACTAAAGGAAGCCTGGTCGGTGTCCTTGGGTTTCTCTTTTCTCTTTCCTCCCTGGCAGCGTGTCTCGCCTCTGATTGGCTCTGCGCTATGACGCCATCCGTGCGACGCATGACCCCGCAGCTGCGATTGGTCGAAATCTCGTCGCTTCACCGCAAGCCCCGCCCATTCTCCGGCAGAGGACAGCTTGAAGATGGCGGCGTCCCTGAGGTGCTTTCTCCGCTCAGGAAAGGTAACTGGCTCATTCTGAGCTTCTGCGTGGCAAATTTTGTGGTTTTCTTGATTAACGAAGTGTCTCTCATTCGCTGTCTTCCTGCAGAATGCCGTGTCGGCTCTCGGACAGCGGGAGTTTCACAGGAGCGCTCCGGCCGCGGCGCAGGTCAGTGTTAGCAGCTAGCATGCTAACATTAGCTAAAGACATGTCGGCTGCATGTTGTTTTGTTGTTTTAGGTCCGGTTTTTAAGAACAAGACAGCTGTCCTGGTCAGTGGTTGCCTGGTTGAAGTAGCTGTTACCAGGTTCTTTTAGGGTTTTAGAGGTCACTGAGCAGAGATGCGGGCTGCCCCATCATGTCAACCCGCCCTGCGGTGACAGATGTCGGACACAGTTTACATAAATCACCGAAGACAACAAACTGTTGACTTTAGCTGCTTGGAGTAAAGAAAAAGCTTTTATTTGTCAACCTGTGAGTGCTGTTTACGCACAAAAATGCGAAAGATATTCATCTAAAACTACACAATTTGCAAAAACACATGCAATCAGCACGGGGAGCATTTAGAAATGATGAGTTTTTAGGGGGTGAATGTGTTTAATTTTTTGTTTTTAAGTGATGACTCAACAGAGTTGTGACTAGAAATAAAAAAATGATGCAAGTAACAGTTTCCTCTCTGGATTCTGGGTTATCTAATTAGTTGTTTCATCTATAAAATGCCAGAAAATGGGGAAAAATCTGCGTCACAAATTCCAAAAGCAGCAGATAATGTCCTCAAACGTCTTGTTTTGGCCACAACCCAAAGTTATTCAGCTTCCTGCTGTACAGGAGGAGACAGCTCTTCCCTCCTAATATTACTCAATCTGATCAATTAAGTTAATTATTTAATAGCTGATAACGAATTTATTAGTCTAGTTCCCGACGTTAATCATTTGGGGATTTTAAAAGACACAAGTGAAAGTGGGTCGACCCAACATTACGGAAGAGAGATGGGAGAAATAAAAGCAATGTTACGACACTAATTAAAGAATGGCAAATATTAAATGAGCAATAAAGAGAAACTCCACCTGCGACAGTCCCATCATATTTAGGGAAATTGCATTTCAGACCAGAAACTAGTAGCTGCTTTAAATTAGCATATGCTTAATATTTATTTAAAGAAAATAAACCGATGGAAGCAGAATTTTTAGCATTGAGGGCTGGATTAATAGTTTCTGATGTTTTGGAACAGATAAACAAACATTTGTTGTTTCGACTTGAACAAGAAAAGTTCAAACGCTGCAGGTTTTCTGCATCAATCAGATCGTCTCAGTGTCTCAAACATGTTAACAGTAGTGTAAAAAATATGATTTTTACTACTTGATGCATTTGAATTTGAGAGAAGTAGAGGATTCGCTTTTACTTTCACACGCTTTATATGCAAAGAGAGTGTATTTTTCAATAATTTTTAAAGGAAAAGCTTTGATCCACTTTGATGTGGTGCTTAAAGACAAAGGTACACTTCAGAATCAGAAAAACTTAATTGAGCCCAGAGACGAAGTTACTTAAGTTACAGCTGCTCCCATTCAAGTCAGAAATAAAAACAGTACAAATATATAGATAAACACATAATAGTGGAAAAATAAACAACACCTCAAGAATAGTTTGCTTTTTCATTCATTTATTCAACAAATCAGATTTTGCAGGTTTTCTGGTTTTGTCATGTGCTGTATGTTGGAAATGTCCCCACGACATGTCAGAAGACTTCAGCCCTCTGTCTCTTCCTTCTGAGTCATTCTTTAGTGGATTTTCTGTTGTTATGATCGGTGTAGAAGCTACGACTGTGTTCTGTGTCCACCTTTGAATTGCCCCCAGGGGGACAAATAAAGCTTTTTGAATTGAAGTAAATCATCCTGTTGTGAGGTCCAAGCACACTTTAACAGGACTGATAGCTGAGTCAGTGACAGCAGCGAAGCAACACTGAATCATTAGAACTTCAAAGTGAGGTTTGTGCAGGTGGTTTGTGTTGAGGAGGATGAACTCAGTAGTGATTCTGTCCTCACTGCTGCTGCTGCTGCTGCTGTTGTCAGGTTACGGTCCGTGATGCCCTGAACCAGGCGATGGACGAGGAGCTGGAGAGGGATGAGCGGGTGTTTCTGATGGGCGAGGAGGTGGCCCAGTACGACGGCGCCTACAAGGTGAGGAGACTGTCAGTCCAACACAGCGCAAAGCATCGGCCACGTTAGCAATCTGTAATCAGTTAATTGTAAAATAAATGAAACGCAGTGGTTGTTTTTCCAGGTACTGATTTTATTGCTTTGTGTATTTTCCTAAATTATAACATGTGTCTGACAAAACGGTAGATGGAAACATTTATGGACTTTTTGGCTGAAATGCGCTTGTAAATTTAACTGTTTTCCGTAGAGGCGCAGGACTTTATGAACAAAAATGTGAAGGGAGCCTAAAGTTTTACAGTAAATGATGGCGGTGATTCTCTGTGTCCAGGTGAGCAGAGGTCTGTGGAAGAAGTATGGAGACAAACGCATCATCGACACCCCCATCTCAGAGGTGAGACTCCAGCATCTGTCCCAGATGTTCTCTGCTGTGCACAAACCTGAATCTGTGTCGGTGTCGTAGAACCTCAGAGAAACTGTCCTCACCTGCTTTTCTGCTGTCTCTCTGCTGCAGATGGGGTTCGCTGGAATCGCAGTGGGAGCCGCCATGGTGAGTTTCTCTTCGCCCCAACGCCGATACGTGAACTCAACGGCCTCAAACCACCGCGTTTGTTTGTATTCAGCTGTTTGGACTTTCACTTGATTCTGGGCTGAACAAGTTAAAGATAAGATGAGGTTTGAATGTAAACGAAAGCCTGCGAGCGGTGGGCAGGAAGAGAAGTCAGTCTGGAGTCCTGAATGTTGGCCCAGTTTGGAGGCTGCATCCTTCGAAGGCCGTCCCGCTTCATTCAGACACTCAGACTCCTTCAAATGCGGCCGATGATTGTGTCCTCCTTTTCCGGACGCATCAGGTGGACCTACACATTCCAAGATCCTTTGGACATCGGCGACAGTTCGATCAACAGCCGGAGTTTTAACTGCTCACAGCCGACTGATGATTCTGCTTTAAAAGTCACTGCAGTAGCTAACGACACAACGGACTTTAAAAACTTAAAATTAGTGGATTAGGGTTGAAAATGAAGTTAAGAGTTCACGTTGTTGACGCTGTTATTTGAAGCTTCCGTGTTTGAGTTTTATCGTACCGAAGTTGTGGCGATTTTATGTCATTTTTACGCCATATTGGTGTGAATGTTAACAGATTTCAGTGAGCTGTGAACACGTTCATCCGGTGCGACCGTACGAGCACCTCAAGTAAATAAAAAAAATATGTTAAACAACAAAAATCACAATTTCTGGATCCATTTCAGTCAAGAAACAAGGTAAAAGTGCGTCATCTTATCCTCGGGATAAAGATAAAAACCGTCTCGTTTAACAAACCAAGTCTGCAACTAACCATCGGCTGAGCTGTCGATTATTTGTACGATTAATCGATAACGTTTTTAGCCTTTATTTACCCAAGTTAGTTATGAAAAACATATTTTCATGAAGAAAAAGAAAAACATGAGAGAACTGTGCATTTTACAGCGTTTATTGAACTAATTCCTGTCAAACAGCTCAAATCAGAAGCATCACAAGGAGCTTTACATCCACCTCGTCAGTGTGAAGCCTTCTCCGTTCAAAGCATCAAATAAAAAATGAGATACAGAAAAGAAATCTGTCTGAATGCATGGACTGTGCTGTCTCTGCTCCTCCTGCTGTGCTGCTTGATCACAGCCACCGGTGGCTCCTGACTGCCACACTGTGGTAGCTGCTGTCACAGAGTGGTTTGAAATTTGACAAAAAAAAATGGTAAAAACTGTTATTAAGCAGCTAGTGGATGACTAAATTAGTTGACAACTATTTTAATAGTTGATTTTAATTGATTAAATCGATTCATAACAAACGCTCGGATGCAGCCTCAGCGTCCTTCAGAGGCTCCAGACTTTGAAGGATGCAGCCTCTGGATCGGGATGTTGTCTTTTCAGATGCTCTGCTCATAATATTTTCTGGTCAGCCTGTATTTTTTCATATTGCAGGAAAACATGGCGTCGTGCAGCTTCAGTAGTAACCAAATGACCACATGATTTATTTATTTATTGCACCTGATGGTGCCGGAGGAGCTAACGTGGATGTTTCCCCCTCAGGCCGGCCTCAGACCCATCTGTGAGTTCATGACCTTCAACTTCTCCATGCAAGCCATCGACCAGGTCATCAACTCTGCAGCCAAGACCTACTACATGTCCGCCGGGCTGCAGTCGGTGCCCATCGTCTTCAGAGGACCCAACGGAGCGTCGGCCGGCGTCGCCGCTCAGCACTCACAGTGCTTCGCTGCGTGGTGCGTTCACTGACCCTCTCAGAACAGAGAGGCTCCTGTTTGAACTTGGAGAACAACTCTGGCGAGCAATGAAAAAGTACAACCTTGCTTACGGGAGGTCGTTACGGCGGCTGTTTGTGTGTCTGCAGGTACGCTCACTGTCCAGGCCTGAAGGTGGTGAGTCCCTGGAACGCAGAAGACGCCAAAGGTCTCCTGAAGGCGGCCATCAGAGAGGACAACCCCGGTGAGACGCCACACTGCGTTGTGCTCTTCAGTCATTTGTGGCACTTTTCAAACAAGATTTTTCTTCTTGTTCTGCGCTCGTCTTCACAAAACTCAGTCTTTTTGTCACGTTATAAGTTTGGGGGCAAAGAGTGCAGATTATTATTATTTTATTCCATTTTTTTTTTTCAAAGAATCTGGTTACAGCAAATTTTTTATGTTGAATCTTTAGCTGAGACGTGTAAAAATAAAGTCTGGATTTGTAGCTTAGCTTTAATTTAGTTTTCTGTCAGAACAGCGTGAGTAGTTCAAGTGCCGTCGGAAAGTTAAAAATCCAAATATTCTTTCTGTTTTTACAGTTTCTGGCTGATGAATGTTGTAATTTGATAATATAATTTTTAAACAGGTTTTGGGCTTCAGGGGTAATAAGGAAACTTGGATTATTATGTGTTGTGATGTAGAGAGCCGTCCTGACGACGAGACGGAGGCTCATCGGACAGAAATAATACAAACACGGTTCCAAATGTGGCTGAAGTCGGGGAACAAAAGGGATTTTTGCTAAAAAAAAAAAATTCTTAAAATCTCACTTGGATGCAAACAGACGCGATTCATGAAGTTCCATCCGACTGTTTCTGAACCGCAGCGTCTCTTCAGGAGAATAAAAACTTAGAAACAACACGCATGTTTTTTCAGTTCACGAGACGTCTCATCAGGCGTTCCTAAAACGGGTTCTGCGTTTGTTGCAGTGGTTTTCCTGGAGAACGAGCTGATGTACGGAGTTCCCTTTGAGATGTCGGACGAGACGCAGTCCAAAGACTTCATCATTCCCATCGGCAAGGCCAAGATCGAGAGAGCAGGTGAGACGCCTCGACAACAGAACCGGTCCGAACGCATCACACTCTTTTTTTCTGTTTGTTTTTTTCCCACATCGTGTCTTCCTGCCTCATGTCGGTCCCTAAAGATGTCACAGTAGTTTCAGTCTGTGGCAGTAAAACTCGTCACACGACCTTGTCAGAAACGGAACAGCTCTGAACGCTATTATTAGACAGAAAACACCTGCAAGGTCTCAAAAAAACAAGCTGAACATACAGCCGTCTCCTACAGTTTAATATGCTGCAGAGTGATGCAGCTAAAAAATCAGTTGATACAGATTATTATTGACAACTTTTAATCGCTTGTTTTTAGCGTATTTGTCGTATTTTTAATGACTTCCTGCTGCTCCAGCTGCTGCTCGATTGTCTTTGATTCGCCTGAAATTTCAATAATACAAAATCAAATATTTCTAAACATGTTTGTGAACTTTTAGCTTCATATTTCAAATACTTTTTGAGAGAATGTATTTTTAAAAATCGCCCGTCGCCTCACGTTCAGCAGGTTTTTTTGGTTTTTTTGCACGTTGAAATTTGAGGCTCTTTTCAGGAACTATTAAAGATAAAAGCCTGAAATTTTCTCTGTCGTTTCTCGACTAGACGTGGATTCAGAATCTGCAAAATTGGACGAAGAGATCAAAGTAATTTCTGATTATGTCGGAGTTGAAATAAAGAGAAAGAGGAAAAAAAAAAAAATGAGTCCATCATGAAAAGTCCCATCAAGTTCTAATCACTGGTTCTTCTGCTTGGATCAGACTATCAGCCAATGTTCTTCATATTCAAACTGTTTTATATCTTCTGTTTTATATCCATGTTCCTGCAGCGACACACAGTTCAGAAAATATCACTGGTTCACTCCTGTGTTATTAATGTTTTTGCTACAATGAGCTTAGAGATGAGACTTTTCACCACGACTTCTGTTTTATCTTCATGCTTCAACTGATCTACTCGTCCATCTGCTCAACATTTAGTTGTATTTTGTGAATTTCTCCACTGTGAGATAAATAAAGGCATATCTTATCTTATTTAAATAATAAGTTTTATAGTAAAGAGACTCGACCCGCTGACGTTTCTGTCTCGTTTAGCTTTAAGTGAGTGCAGCCACGTTAACCGTCAGTCCGTCAGAACGCCGATCAGAACGGGCTTTTATTTTATTAGATGTTTAAACGGCCTCAAATGTCAGTGTGTGGAGAAAAAAAAACGACCTGCTGGAGTCGATCAGTTTTTATAAAAGAAATTAAAAAGTAAAATTTCCCAGAGACGGTTTTAAACATCCAGAGTTTATGACAAAGAGCAGAAAGAACCCGATGACAAGAGATTTGTTGTCCTCTGGTCTGGTTGAGTTTGATCACAGAAATGATATGATTATGACGCTCTTCTTCTGTTACCTCCTCCTACTCCTTCCCCTCTTCTCCTTTTTTACCTCCTCTTCTTCCTCCTCTTTTTACCTCCTCCTCTTCTCCGTCATCTTCCTCCTTCTCCTCCTCTCCCTCTCCTCTTCTCCGTCTTCTTCCTCCTTCTCCTCCTCTCCCTCTCCTCTTCTCCGTCTTCTTTAACCTTGTATTCCTCCTCTCCTTTTCTTCTTCCTCATCTTCTCCATCTTCTTCTTCTTCCTCCTCCTCCTCCACTTCTTCTTTTTCTTCTTCTTCCTCCTTCTTTTCCTCTTGCTCCTCCTCTACTTCCTCCTCCTCTTCTTCTTTTCTACTTCCCCTTGTTCTTCCTCCTCCTCCTCTTGTTCTTTTCTTCTTCCTCTTCTCCCTCCTTTTCTTCTTCTGGTCCTCCTTTTCTTCCTCTTCTTCCTCCTCCATCTTCTTCTTCCTCTGCCTCCTCTTCTCCATCTTCCTCCTCTTCTTCTCCATGTTCTTGCTCCACCTCTTCTTCTTCCTCCTCCTCTTCTTCATCTTCTTTCTCCTTCTCTTCCTCTCCATTTTCTTCTCTGTTTCTTCCTCCTCCTCTTCTTCCTCTTCTTCTTCTTCCTCCACCTCCTCTTCATCATCTTCTACCTCCTTCTCTTCCCCTCCTTCTTCTTCTCCATTTCTTCCTCCTCCTCCTCCTCCTCCTCCTCCTCCTCCTCTGTGTTTCAGGGACTCACGTCACCCTGGTGTCTCACTCTCGGATGGTGGGCCTCTGCCTGGACGCCGCCGCCGTCCTGTCGAAGGAGGGCATCGAGTGTGAGGTAAAGCGACGCCACCCGCTCAGAGCCGAGGCCGGCGTCCCCTGAGCTCGGCGGGCCGCTCACTGCTTCCTGTCTTGTGTTCTCCAGGTGGTCAACCTTCGCACCATCCGCCCGATGGACGTGGAGAGCATCGAGGCCAGCGTGATGAAGACCAACCACCTGGTGACGGTGGAGGGCGGCTGGCCTCAGTTCGGAGTCGGAGCCGAGATCTGCGCCAGGATCATGGAAGGTGACGAGTTTAGCCTTTGGGTTTTGCTTTTTTTTCTCACTGTGGCTCATTTATCACCGTAATATAAAGTCCTGCAGCTCCACGGAAACAGAAACAGGAGAGAGAACTCAGACGTCAAATCAAATCCAGTTTATTGTCACAGCAGTACAGGCAAGATGAGGGAGCGTTTCTATAGGATCCAATAACTTAGAGCAATTTAAATAGTTTGAAGGTTCTTCCTTTAACGCCTGATGGCAGCAGTTCAGAGAGTTCACGTAGAGGGTGTGAGGAGTTCAGCGTCCTGCTCCTGCAGACGGAGGGGAGGGAAACTCCGATGAGCCTCTCAGCTCCTCTGACTGTCCTCTGCAGGGCTCTTCTGTCTGACGCTCTGCAGCCGGAGCAGTTTCACAAACCAGAAAATAAGAGAAAAAAAAACTGTGTTCAGAATGTCCACCGGTGTCACCAACACTGGGGGGACAATGTGTAGACGTTGAACTATTTCCATTTTTAATTGGTTTCTCTGCTCTGTTCAGCCTCAAAGTCTCTGAATTTCTGCCTCATGACTGTTGCTCACAACCGAGTCACTAATAGTTGTTCAGTTGGTTCAAAGAAAGTGGAATTTTAGTTTTTGAGCAGAACCTGATGAAAGCAAACGGTTTGTTTTTGGTGAATTTTTAAAAGGAGACGTTTAGAATAAATTTCAAGCTTAGATTTGGTGAATTTTTAAAAGAAGACGTTTAGAATAAGTATCAAGCTTAGATTTGGTGAATTTTCGGGATAAAAAATGTCGACTTGATGACTTTAAGGGTCGTCGTAAAGCTGAAAGTCCCAAGACTTTAACTCATTCTGGTGGTTTTAGTTAAAACCCGACGCCGGGTTTGGGCTTAAAACTCAACGGTTGAATTCGTTAAAGGTGATGAGGTTCACTCTGGTTACAGTTTATACAAATTTTCAGCTAATTGAGAAGTAATGAAACTTGTTTGTTGGCAAATTTCACCCTTTTCCACTGTAACTAAAACAAAGTGACACTAATAATATTTGGAAATGAACCAACATTAATGAATCATACGGCTGTTTTTATGTGGAAAATACGAGTAAATCACACTGAAAGTTTAGACCATAAAATAAGACACGAAAAGATAAAATGTCTTAATCGCCAACTGTCTCAACAGTTGATGAATCCGACAGAAAGAGCAAAAAAAAAAAAAAGCCTAAATTCTCTGATTCCAGCTTCCTAAAAGGGAATCTCTTGTCGTCTCTTATCTTATTTCCTTTCGTGTTTCTTTAAACATTTTCTCAGCTAATAAATCGTTTTGCTGCCTTCTCTTTAAAGTCCGACAGCGAACACGAGCAGAAAGACACAAACCGTTTGCTTCGGTTGAAGTTGTGACGTCTGAGTTCGCCGTCAGCCGTCAGAAATGAACTCAGCAGCGACTCTTAACGATTCAGCTATTGATTGATAGGACTGCCATCTGTCGGTTGAGGATTTTTTAAAAACACAACCTCTCGTTTTCAGGCCCCGCCTTCAACTACCTGGACTCCCCGGTCACCAGGGTGACGGGCGTGGACATCCCGATGCCGTACGCCAAAATCCTGGAGGACAACAGCCTGCCGCAGATCAAAGACATCATCTTCTCCGTGAAAAAGACCCTGAACGTCTGAGACGCACAAACACCTGAGTCCTCGTGTTCACGCCGGGCAGCGCAAACGTTGTCCGGTTTAAAAAAAATAAAAATAAAAAAATATATCCGACCCACGTTGTAAATACAGAGATAATGTTCCGCTAGAAACACTCCCGACTGTCAGGTGTCCAGCCAGATGTTGGTCGATGAAACGCACAGCTGTCGGACTCGAAGGGTTCTGACTGAACGCCGGAAGGCCGCTCTGACGTGGAAGTTCACTAACGACCAAACGGCTGAGCGAGCACGAAAAAGAAAACGCACAAAAAAAATAATAATCCAGATTTCTGAAAGGCTTTCGTCCGACTTCACATCAGCTGTGCCAAGAATCAAACGTCGTATTTATTGAACACTTTCCAGACACGAAACTCGAGCGTCAGACTGCGTTTCATTTGGATGAAGTTCTTTATTTTTGCTTTTTGTGAATCGAAAGAGTTAAAACACGTTTATGTTTTTAAAATCTAATCGCTGACTTTGTTCTCTTAACTTGCAAACGAATCCACCTGTGAGTCGTGCTCTCTTCCTGCCGTTTAGTTGTTAATAAACTCCCACATGTTCCCACCAGAACACAATAAAGTCTGAGTGTTAATCCTCTCTCTGTCTGACGGGTTGGTGAAGAGCGAAGACCGGGAGTATTTATTGTAGCTGCAGCAGCTCTTGATTCTGTTGCTGTGAAATGACTCTGTTACCGAAGTAATAAAAACCTGTCAGTCCTTTAATGCTGCTGTTTGTTCTTTTGGCGTCTCGCTGGTTGACGATGCTGCAACGAAAAACAACAAAAAACAACAATCTGTGTTTTTACCACAATGAAATCTGATCGTCTGCATCGACCTCAAACAGAAAAATCAACATTTTGATTTCTGCTTCAGAAAGTTTCATCTTGTTCTGACAAAATGTGAGATTTCTCTGTGAACACGACAGAAAAAACATCATTTAAACGCTTTTATTTTGTCGGTTTTACTTTCTGAT